GTGCAACTACTGCGCGCAGCGAGCGGGTCTGGCACGCTCGGCCGATCTCCTCAGGATCAGAGAACATCCAGTCGAACGTGAACTCGCGGACACCCTTCTTCGAGTTCACCTTGTCCACCCATCGATCAGGCCGACCTTTCTGCGCACGTAGCCGACGTCGTAGCCAATCTCGAACGTTGCTAGTCCTGATCGATTTTAATATCATCGAAATCCTCCTGCGTAGATGTGGTAGATCGTCCTCCGCATATGCTGGTAGGACGAGCGGCGGTGCATTGAACGGTGCCAAACGATGCAGACGTAGTAAGTACTCGATTACCATGATGGCCGCCATGCGACGAGCCCCGCCTGGAATAAAATAATTGACCAGCTCCCCTGCGCGGCGCAAGAAGCCAGCCATCGCGTCCACACTCCATGACGGGGGAAAGTCCACGCATGGACGGTACGATGCACAATAAGCGATAAAAAGATTGAAGAAACCTTCCTCGAAGATGCTGATCGGGCCAAATCTGCGATCTTCCACCAACCTGAGCCTCTGAATGCCACGATAGACTTCGGAATACGCGCCCCGAAGTTGTCCAGGATGTTGCAATAACCGTTCCCGACGCTCACGTTCGCCATCGGACCTCTCCTTCGCGGCCTGGAACACTTGTGACGCCCAAATTGACTGTGCCTGTTGGGCCCTCGTAGTCGCGGTGGAGGCCGACGTCGACCTGCTTCTCGCCGCGGTACCGGTAGTGTACCTTCCTTGTCGAGCCCCACGCCGTTAATATCCCTGATCACGGTTGTTGCACTCAGGATTGGCGAATTTGATGACCAGGGACTCCATCACGAACGCCTGCGCCTCGGATGGATAGACCGCGACTGGTAGCATACACAGGGTCCCCAAGGACACCCGCAGTAGGTGATATCTGGGCCACCTCCCCTCGGGCTGATCAGGAGACACGATGGCCCTGATGTGTTCTCGAAGTCGCGCGGCCAGTCCTGGGGTGGTGACCGTGCGCGTGAGGTTCGCCTTGCCGACGTATACTCCAGCAGCATTCCACAAGACATAGACCGATGACTCGGTTGGTAATGCCCTCTCTTCCACGCAACTCTGGAACCATGACAACCATGTCTCATCAAGATTATTGATGGCTACCTGCGCATACGGCGGTAAAACACGGAATGCTCTGGCTGCCCACCTGGGAAACTTTGACTTTTGTTGAGCTTGGCGTAGACGAATCACGCCCATTGCCATGAACATAGATGAGAAATACTGATCATCACGCTTGGTTCCGTGACTCCATACTTCTTGCCGCGAGAAAACGCGCGAGCCAGTGAGCGATGTAAACACAGCTGCAGGGCGGGAAGCCCTGCCTGGGGTACCATGGACCATACCCACATTCGAACTGCTGTGGCCCCTTCTTGCGAGGGTGTCTGGATCAAACGCTGAACTTTGCGCACCTCTTGCAACGCCCACGCGTAGTGTATTGTCGGCACGGGCCAACTGATGGTATCTGGGGCGATCACGGGATGCGGGGATGAGCTGGACGTAGTGTGAGCGGTATGCGCGCATGCTCGTTGAAGTTGAGGGTGCATATGAAACTAATGAAGATGGACTGAATGAGTCGTGCGACACCGTTGCTGGGAGGCCGGCTTGCCACGCGTTGTATGTGTTCTCCAAGGCAATGTATGGGACGCAGGTCGTGGCGAGGCCGGCGGTAGGCGTCGGCCCTCGTCCTCGATCTGTTTTCCTTGCACCGCTGAGCCGCTTGGGGTTCGATCTGAAGCCAAAGGACCGCCAGCGCTTTCTTGAGCGCCCGCGCGAGAAGAGCGGGCTCCCCTGGGGCTCGACCTCGAGCCGCGCGCGCCCACGGGAAGAAAGTGTGTGTGTGTGGGTGTGCGTGTGCGTGTGCGTGTGCGTGTGCGCGTGCGCGTGCGTGTGCGTGTGCGTGTGCGTGTGCGTGTGCGTGTGCGTGTGCGTGTGCGTGTGCGTGTGCGTGTGCGTGTGCGTGTGCGTGTGCGTGTGCGTGTGCGTGTGCGTGTGCGTGTGCGTGTGCGTGTGCGTGTGCGTGTGCGTGTGCGTGTGCGTGTGCGTGTGCGTGTGCGTGTGCGTGTGCGTGTGCGCGTGCGTGTGCGTGTGCGCGTGTGCGTGCGCGTGCGTGTGCGTGTGCGTGTGCGTGTGCGTGTGCGTGTGCGTGTGCGTGTGCGTGTGCGTGTGCGTGTGTTGTATGTGTGTGTGTGTGTGCGTGCGTGCGTGCGTGAGTGCGTGCGTGCGTGCGCGCGTGCGCGCGCGTGCGGGAGTGCGTGCGTGCGTGCGTGCGTCGTGCGCGTGCGCGCAGTGCGTGCGTGCGTGCGTGGTGCGTGCGCGAGTGTGTGTGTGGTGTGGTGTGTGTGTGTGTGCGTGCGTGCGTGCGTGCGTGCGTGGCGGTGTGTGAGTGGTGTGTGTGTGTGATGTGAGTCTGTGTGTGCGTGTGTGTGTGCGTGCGTGCGCGTGCGTGCGTGCGTGAGTGTGTGTGAGTGTGTGTGCGTGTGTGTGTGCGTGGGTGTGCGTGTGTGTGCGTGCGTGGTGTGTGGTGTGCGTGTGTGTTGCGTGTGTGTGTGTGTGTGTGAGTGTGTGCGTGTGTGGCGTGTGTTCGTGTGAATGTGCGTGCGTGTGCTGTGCGTGCGTGTGTGTGCGTGCGTGTGCGTGCGTGTGCGTGCGTGCGTGTGTGTGCGAGTGGGTGCGTGTGCGTGTGTGTGTGTGTGTGTGTGTGTGTGTGGGTGTGTGTTGGCGTGCGTGTGTGAGTGTGTGCGTGTGTGTGTGTGTGTGTGGTGTGTGCTTGCTGCGTGTGTGTGTGTGTGTGCGTGTATGTGTGCGTGCGCCCCCCCCCCCTCCCCCCGCCCTGTGTGCGCTCTGTGTGTGTGCGTGTGTGTGTGAGTGGTGTGGTGCGTGTGTGTGTGCGATGTGCGTGCGTGCGTGCGTAGCCTTTGTGCCTCTGTGCCTCTGTGCCTCTGTGCCTCTGTGCCTCTGTGCCTCTGTGCCTCTGTGCTTCTGTGCCTCTGTGCCTCTGTGCCTCTGTGCCTCTGTGCCTCTGTGCCTCTGTGCCTCTGTGCCTCTGTGCCTCTGTGCCTCTGTGCCTCTGTGCCTCTGTGCCTCTGTGCCTCTGTGCCTCTGTGCCTCTGTGCCTCTGTGCCTCTGTGCCTCTGTGTCTCTGTGTCTCTGTGTCTCTGTGTCTCTGTGTCTCTGTGTCTCTGTGCCTCTGCGTCTCTGTGTCTCTGTGTCTCTGTGTCTCTGTGTCTCTGTGTCTCTGTGTCTCTGTGCCGCTGTGCCTCTGTGCCTCTGTGCCTCTGTGCATCTGTGCCTCTGTGCCTCTGTGCCTCTGTGCCTCTGTGCCTCTGTGCCTCTGTGCCTCTGTGCCTCTGTGCCTCTGTGCCTCTGTGCCTCTGTGCCTCTGTGCCTCTGTGCCTCTGTGCCTCTGTGCCTCTGTGCCTCTGTGCCTCTGTGCCTCTGTGCCTCTGTGCCTCTGTGCCTCTGTGCCTCTGTGCCTCTGTGCCTCTGTGCCTCTGTGCCTCTGTGCCTCTGTGCCTCTGTGCCTCTGTGCCTCTGTGCCTCTGTGCCTCTGTGCCTCTGTGCCTCTGTGCCTCTGTGCCTCTGTGCCTCTGTGCCTCTGTGCCTCCTCTGTGCCTCTGTGCCTCTGTGCCTCTGTGCCTGTGCCTGTGTCTCTGTGTCTCTGTGTCTCTGTGTCTCTGTGTCTCTGTGTCTCTGTGTCTCTGTGTCTCTGTGTCTCTGTGTCTCTGTGTCTCTGTGTCTCTGTGTCTCTGTGCCTCTGTGTCTCTGTGTCTCTGTGTCTCTGTGCCTCTGTGCCTCTGTGCCTCTGTGCCTCTGTGCCTCTGTGCCTCTGTGCCTCTGTGCCTCTGTGCCTCTGTGCCTCTGTGCCTCTGTGCCTCCGTGCCTCCGTGCCTCCGTGCCTCCGTGCCTCCGCGCCTCCGCGCCTCCGTGCCTCCGTGCCTCCGCGCCTCCGCGCCTCCGCGCCTCCGTGCCTTTGTGCCTCTGTGCCTCTGTGCCTCCGTGCCTCCGCGCCTCCGTGCCTCCGTGCCTCCGTGCCTCCGTGCCTCCGTGCCTCCGTGCCTCCGTGCCTCCTTGCCTCTGTGCCTCTATGCCTCTGTGCCTCTGTGCCTCTGTGCCTCTGTGCCTCTGTGCCCCTGTGCCTCTGTGCCTCTGTGCCTCTGTGCCTCTGTGCCTCTGTGCCTCTGTGCCTCTGTGCCTCTGTGCCTCTGTGCCTCTGTGCGCGTGCGTGTGGGAGGCGAGGTTTGTGCGTTCAGCGAATTCAGTTGGAATTGCCCCCCGCCGCCCCCACCCTCTCCAGAGCGAGTGCCCTTCCCCCCCCCCCTCTCTCTCCAGAGCTTGTGCGTTCAGTGAGTTCCGTCGGAATTTGCCCCGCCCTGCCCCGGGGGCTTGTTGGAATTTTCCCCCCCCCCCCCCCCGCCCACCCCTCCTCTCCAGAGCTTTTGCGTTCAGTGAATTCCGGTGGAATTCGCCCCCCCCCCCCCCCCCTTCCAGAGCGAAGCGTTCTCCCCCCCCTCTCCAGAGTTCAGTTCACTGAATTCCGTTGGAGTTCGTCCCCCCCCCCCCCTCTCCAGAGCGAAGCTTGAGCGAGCTCAAGCCCACGCTCTCACAAACTCACACGCCGGATCGGCGGATTTGCACGACCCTGCGTAGGCCTCTAGTTCTATAGCTGGAACAGGAAGTCGTTTATAGGAGGACGCATCCGGCGAAACGTCTGAAATTTCTCTCGACGCACCTGGCGCGGCGACGATGGTGCAATCAGTTCCAACGAGGAGAGAAAAAAGGAGCAGGGATAATAATCAGCAGTGACAGCAGCAGATTTCCTTCCGAACTGCACGAGGTCAAAAGCGCGTTCCTTTTCCGCCTTTTCTCCTCGTCCCTGGCTCTGTACAGCCACCCCGCTTGATTGTCGGCCTTTCTTGTTCGATCGACTCGGCCTCGCAGCGTTCAGCCCACCTGAACGGTTCTTCTATTGGCACGAGCCCTTGCTTCCCCTGGCTCCTGATCCTTCTGTGAGGCTTGACACATCTCGCTCGGCTGCTGGCGCCATGCCCCCCCTCCGTGGCACCGCGCTGCCCGCTTGCCTGGCCGTCGCGTTCGGGCTCTACCTCCTGCCGAGCGCCTTCGTGGCGCCCGCGCCCTTTGTGCGCCCGACCGCCTCGGTGGCCACTCCGCGTGGGCAGGTGGCCCTCGCCGCGCGCGGTGGCGACGAGTACGACGTCAGCGACGCCGACATCCAGACGTTCTACGAGGATCGAAGGGAACAGCACTTGTCTGGCGTTCATACATGTCTGCCGCGCCTGGCCACACCCATCCTGGGCGGATCGGTACATACGATTTCGTGGCACAAAAGGCTCTGAGTTAGGGGCGACGGACATGCATAGATTTCGTCGTGCTAACCCGCATAAGCATACACTTTCGGACGTACCGAGGATTTGTTATCCGCGCGGGTTTCCGAAAGTTTGTGCATTTGTTGTTTTTGTCTTCTAGAGGAGACGATTTCGGGGTCCGGCGGCGACCCCCCGAAGGGTTCGATCACGGCGGAGCTCATCGTCAAGCATTTCCACGGGGTGTGGGACGACAGGGGCACCTTCACCCGCTACAGCGGCCAGTGGAAGGGCCCGCCCCCGGGGGGGATCGGCAAAAAGGACATTGCCATCGGCATTGCGGGCCTCAAAGAGCAGATGAAGCTAGGCAAGCACGTCGTCAAGGGCGGCCCTGGGAAGGACGAGACGCAGAAGGTGGTCGACGATGGAAAGGGCTGGGTCTGGCTGGCCGCTGACATGAGCCCGGGTGGCCTGGCGGTGCAGTTGTACACTTCCGTGCCGTACGGCAAACGCCCGCTGCTGGTCGCCAAGCGCTCCGAGGTGGACACCATGTTCGAGAAGGTAAACTGGGGCCTCATGGACAAGCGCATCGATACCACCATGGGCGGGCCCCAGGTGATTCAGCGGTAGTTCGCAGCCACCCAGGGGCGCACGAACCGGGCCTCCAGCTGTTTACTTGCTCCGTCTTGACGGTCGCAACACCGCGCCGATTTTCTCAGCATGAACGGACAAAACATGATGTCAGTTCGCCTGCGTTGGCGCTCTCGCGGGTGCTCTCGCTCCTGCGCCGGAGCGGAGGCAGTCCGCCCTGGTTGTGTGTGCTCCTTTCTGCATGCTCTTCGTTCTTGTGCATTCGCAGTGCATCTCCCGCTCCTGGCGCCGACTCGTCCCGTGCACTTGCCCAGCCCACCTGCCGTCGCTCTTTGCGGCCTCGACGCCTGAGTACCCGGCCGTCTCTCCCTGCCCCCCTTTCCCCACGCATTCGCCTTCTTCCTCCACCCCACCCCCTCCTTCTCTGTCCCCCCTTTCCTCCTCGACTCCAATCCCTTCCCTCTTCTCTCCTCTCTCCGCTCTCTTCCTCGCCCTCGTGGCGCCCGTCGATCGGATGGATGCCCCCCATCTTCTGTTTCTCAGTTCGAATGCTTTCGAACCGCTCGCCCGCCTCCAGCATGTCCTTCTTTTTTGTTCCCAACCATCCTGTGGTGTTGGGTCTTCGTTTTGAAGAGACGTCGCCCCGCGTTCTCCTCTCCTCCTCTGCCTCCTCCTCGTGCTACCGTCCGCATGCGTCCCGCACACCCAGTACAGCGTTTCGTGGCCCTCCTCCCCTTCCTCCTTGCGTTTCACCCACCCAGTACACCGCTTCGTGGCCCCATAGGGAGCCCTACCGAAGGTCCCAGTGCTACCGTCCGCATGCGTCCCGCACACCCAGTACAGCGTTTCGTGGCCCCATAGGGGGCTCCACCGATGGTCCCAGTGCTACCGTCCGCATGCGTCCCGCACACCCAGTACATCGTTTCGTGGCCCCATAGGGAGCCCCACCGAAGGTCCCAGTGCCCCCGTCCGCATGCGTCCCGCACACCCAGTACAGCGTTTCGTGGCCCTCCTCCCCCTCCTCCCTGCGTTTCACCCACCCAGTACAACGCTTCGTGGCCCCATAGGGAGCTCCACCGATGGTCCCAGTGCTACCGTCCGCTTGCGTCCCGCACATCCAGTACAGCGTTTCGTGGCCCCATAGGGAGCTTTACCGAAGGTCCCAGTGCTACCGTCCGCATGCGTCCCGCACACCCAGTACAGCGCTTCGTGGCCCCATAGGGAGCTCCACCGAAGGTCCCAGTGCTACCGTCCGCATGCGTCCCGCACACCCAGTACAGCGTTTCGTGGCCCTCCTCCCCCTCTTCCCTGCGTTTCACCCACCCAGTACACCGCTTCGTGGCCCCATAGGGAGCCCCACCGAAGGTCCCAGTGCTACCGTCCGCATGCGTCCCTCACGCCCAGTACAGCGTTTCGTGGCCCCATAGGGAGCCCCACCGAAGGTCCCAGCGCTACCGTCCGCATGCGTCCCGCACACCCAGTACAGCGCTTCGTGGCCCCAAAGGGAGCTCCACCGAAGGTCCCAGTGTGCCCCCGTCCGCATGCGTCCCGGAAGCCCAATTTGGCATTTTCACCCGCCCAGTGCAGCGTTTCGTGGCCCTATAGGGGGCTCCACCCAAGGGCCCAGTGGGACCGTCCGCATGCGTCCCGGAAACCCAATTTAGCATTTTCACTCACTCAGTAGAGCGCTTCGTGGCCCCATAGGGAGCTCCACCGAAGCCCTCAGTGGGACCGTCCGCATGCGTCCCGGAAACCCAATTCGGCACACCACCCACACAGTACAGCGTTCCCCCCCGCCCAGTGCAGCGCTTAGTGGCCCCATAGGGAGCTTCACCGAAGCAGATATTCACAATTACGGTACCCACAACTGCATATGGTTGGAACCTTCGCCAGGATAATTTCTTCCTCGTCCATGAGGCCCTCATCTCCCTCCGAGCGCCGCTCCCAGGCACGCCCTCGGATGCGCAGGCAATCCGCCTGCATGCGCATCTTGACTCGTTCTGCTCCGAGACTTCCAGAGGTGACCAAGAGGGTGGTGATGACTACAGTCAGCCCGCATAGTAAGGATGTTTAACCTTCCCAAGGGCATCTTGCCTTGCATCCTTGCCTCCTCGGCCCATCCTTGGCCACCTTCGTTGGCCGCGCCCCGCTCGAAAAGCTTCGAAATGGGCTTCCGAGGCCGTTGCATCCTTGTCGAGCATCCTTTACTGTACGGGTTGACTGCAGGGCCAGGGCCATGACATCTCACAGGATGTCATGGCCCCTTTTCGTACATCCCAGTACGGTTCTTGGGCCCCAACCCCTGGGCCTCGCACGTGCCTCGGGCCATGAGTTGCGAACCCCCCTCCTGGACGTGGACGCCCCCCTCCTGGACGCCCCCGCGACTGTGGGCAGTTTTCCGAAGTTCATATGTTTTGTTCGACCAAGACTCTGGCAATTTGAAGTTTGACACAGGGCAGAATAATGAGCAAAGCGAAGTATTTGTTTTCAGGATCTGAGACGTTCGAATTGATGTTTTGCGATTTGAAATTATGCAAAGACACTCCCAAGCTGTCTATGTACATGTGCATCAATGTATCTATGTATGCATGTATGCATGCATGTATATGTGCATGTATGTGATGCAACGTGATACAATGGAGTTAAATGTAATGGAATGGGATGTACTGTGATGTGACAGAATGTAATGTAATGCAACGTATGCATGTATGCATGTAAGAGTTTGTGTATGTATGTAGGGAGATAGGTATGTGTGCATGTAATGTTATGTATACAATGTAGCATACTATAATGTGATGTATACACTGGAATTTAATATAGTGAAATGTATCGTGTTAGTGAAACGCATTGTAATGCAGTGGAATGCAATGTCGTGTAATGTAATGTAGTGGAATGGAATGTGATAGAATGTAGTGTAATGTAACATAATGTAATGCAATACCTGCCTGCATGTATGCGTGTGAATGTTGTTCGCATGCACTTAACCTGCCTCTCAGGGGCTGAGGAAGTCGCTCGGCATCGCACAAAGTATGTGTCTGTCTGTCTGCCTGCCTGTCTGCCTGTATGTCTGTATGTCCGTATGTCTGTATGTCTGCAGCCATTTTGGCTCAAGCAGTCTGAGCTCAAGCGTCCGATTGCTTGCGTCTGGGGATTATTTTCGACGGGGCCGGAAGTCAGACTTCCGCGCTAGCCTTTCTTGGAAAAACAAGCAGGAAACTGGCTGATTAATTACTCAAAGCAGGGAATAAGCTTGAACAGACAACACGAGCACTGCTTAGGCAACACGCTACGACCAAAGTGATACTCGGCCCGACCGGGCGCCGCGATGACCGCCGCCCCGCGTCTGGGCGGACCGACGGCCTCCGCCGCGACGCTGCGCGATCTGCTGGGAGCCCTCCAGCAGGGCCTTCGGCACTCCTGGCGCGCGGCGGGCCGGCGCGGCCTCGGCCTCCTGGCCAGGGCCCGTCTCGTCTGCCTCCGCGCGGTCCTCATCGTGGCCTTTTTCCGGGGCCCGCGGCGGCCGGCGCGCCCGCGGCGTCAGCGGGACGTCCCTTCTCGACGTTTCCTCCGTCGCGCTGGGGGCAGCCGCGCGCGGTGCACACGCGGCACGGCCCCAGCCTGCAGCTGGCGGCGCGCGGCGCGGCGGCTGAAGGAGGAGGAGGAGGAGGAGGAGGAGGAGGAGGAGGAGGAGGAGGAGGGGCGTCTCAGGCGCAGCTGGTCGTCATCGTCCCCTGCCCGGCGAGGGGGCGGCCCCAGGCGCAGCAGCTCCTGCCGCAGCTCGGGCGGGGCGAGCGCCCGATCGTGGTGGGCGACGGGTCTCCGCCCGGCGGGCCCTGGAGCCTCGTGGGCGGCATCGTGGGGAGCAGCCCGCGCGCCCTGTTGCTCGGGCGGACGCCTGCGAACGTCGCCACTGTGGCTTTCGGTGGAGCCCCCAGTCGGGTCACACAACGTGGTACTGGGCGGGGCAGACGCATGCGAACGTCGTCACGGGAACATTCGGTGGAGCTTCCTAGGGGCTACAAAACGTTGTACTGGGTGGGGCGGACACATGCGAGAGAACCACGGCCCGGCGGCGGCGCGGAACATGGGCCTGGTGGCCGCGCGCACGGTGGGCGCCAAGGCAGCTTGCTTCCTTGACGCCGACACCGTCGCAAGCCCCACGTGGCTCCGCGCCACGCGCGACGCCCAGATAAGCTCAAGGCGGACTCACGCAGTCGCTCAAGGGCGCGCTGCCGATCGAGGTGCTCCACGACGTTCTCGGCACGCTGAATGGCCGGTTCGCCGCGGAACCCATGAGGACGCTCCTCTACGCCCCGACCTGCAACGCGTCCTTCACTGGCTCAGCCAGCGGAAGGATGATGAAGCTCCACTCGCAAAGGTCTATCAGGCTGCGGGCACTGCCCCGGCCGGCGGTGGACCTCCGACTCAGGGAACTTGGCCTCGCGCAGTTACCCCATCTTTCTTGGAAACGGATGCGACGCATAACGAGAACTGGCAATATGTTGTTGTCTTGAACGGGTGGATGGCGACCCGCCTAAGGCATCGCATCTGCCGCGACGGAACTCTTGTGACGACAGGACAAGCACGCTTCAATGACATCTCTCTCATCGCGCAATTGACGTCGGTTGAGCAGAATGCACGCAATTCACAGCAGGTGATCTGGAACATGATATGTTCACAAGGGTGGTCTGCGTATGAGGTTGCTTTCTCGCACGGCACAGCTAGAACATGGATATGTTTTGACGAACAAGTGGCCGACGCAGGGCAGAGTACAATGTCCGAAGAAGAAAAGGCCCTCATCACGCGGAGAATGTGGACTGACGATGGGAGGTACATTCGCAATCAATACCATGCCGGGAGGGCTGTCTTCGGATATTGTTTACAATGCCTCACCCCTTGTCACGTACAAACACAACGTCAGAGGGAACTGTTTATAATCGCCTGGCAGGGACGCGTTGGTTGCTGCATGGACGAGCCTAGGACTGGTTCCACGTCTAGATGCCCCCCCCCAAGAGGGGAGAGCGGCTCCCAGATCATTTCCAACAGGCTGAACGCGATGAAAAAGAGCTCTTCTGAAGCGCTGGAAAATTTGAACAAAGCTGAACAACGCCAGCGCAAGTGGGTTAGCAACTCACAGATACGTCCCTGGGTTTCCTTGGCAGGTTGTACGTTGATACATTCGCAGCCAGGGGCCGCCCCTTCCTGGAGACCCGGCAGCCCATCGGCACAGCCGCCGGCGCGTCATGAGCCATACTTCCATTATCTGTATCTGGAACCACTCAAGCTCCGATTCATTGAATGGCTGAAGTTCAGGCATGGGGAAAATGCCCCACCGCTGCCCAGTGGTGGCCATTAATCTGCACGCCAGATCTGGACCAATACGCTCGTCCAGCGAGACGCTCTGCACTTGCTGTTTTTGATTGGGAACATGCTAGTGCTGAGCAAATTCGCCAAGAGACAGGCTGGGACCAATTGGAACAAGAGATGGCGGAAAAAAGGAGTAATAATTCCATCAGTTCAAGCGTTAACGGAAAACTTGAACTGAGCCAACCGAGTTTCTGCGTCGAACCAAGTCGGAGACATAGATGTCCGGGTTGTTGCTGGATTTCATCATCGGCCCAGCCGCATTGATGAGTTGATATCAGCACGTGAAGAGGGGGCTGCGACGTCGGACGGCATATGCAACCAACATATAGCCCAGCGTCATCAGCTGATTGTTCCGACGAGAACGCTGCCCTTTTTGCTTGATTTGGTTCCTATTTCTAGCTGCGCGTCTAGCTATACGCGCAATGGTGACCCATGCGATAGGCCAGAAGTTATCAGAGTTGCAAATTCATTCTGGAATATGTATCGACAGTTCCAACTACGATGCCATTCAACAAAGACATCATTCATGATGCACCGCCGGGATTACCCGAGCTCGTTGGACAACATATGGAACCAACCACTTGATCGAGCCCCCCCTCACGGAAGATGGGCGGATTCTGTTAGTTGCACGAGAAGAAACATTATTGTTCATGTCTGCGGGAATCAACGTTGCATTTCCGGGATACGAGGTGCAGCGTGATCCGAACAGTGCGAATGCAGCGCTTGAAGTTATGCACGATGCTCATGTTTCGGATTGTCGGGTTAGGTTCGCGGTCGAATCATTTGACTACTTCATGAATGGACCCAAGGATTAGGAAATGAAGTATCAGAGACCGCAAGACGGAATTGTTCGGGCATCCAAGAAGCTGCGGCTTTCATGCGTACGTCTACGGAATCTCATTTTAGTGCGGAGATCTGTCTTGCCAACAGCCGTTTTGGAATCTTCAACGTTGACAACGCCATTGGAATAACCAATTGCCTTAAGAAGAAAATGGAGGAGAGCGGCCCAGCCGACTCTCCCGCGGAGAGCATCCCAGCTGAGTCTCCAGCAGATGCTGCCACCACAACCGCTGAAGAAAATACCCCGAGCGGCGCCGCCGCTCCGGGGCAGCGAACTCAGCGACATCCTCGCCCAGATTTGAGACCGAGGTACCAGGAAGGAAGGCAGTCATATAGGACCGCCCCCTGTGCCCCGACGCCAGCCGGCCCAGCCGCGTCGGGCGCCAGTGCTGGCTGGATTGATCATGACTGAATCCAGTCGCGGGCAGATGAATCTTGGACTGATGAGCTTGTCCTGGAAAGACTGGCTGTAGAGCCGGGAGGCGGCCGCGCGAGCGTTGGCGGCGGCGCCGGGCCTGCCATGGGCGGCAGGCGCGACGCGACGGTCGACTGCGAGGACGAGAATGAGAATGGAGAAGTTCAAGGATACTACACTACGCACATGTATATCGTCATCAGCGAGTCACTGGCCATGACAAAACGCGGCAGTGGTTTAGTTTGAACGAATGCAACGACAAGTTCAAACGTGACTCTGGGACGCCAAGTGCCCTGCCAGAGCCTCCACCGCCGCCCACGTCGAAGGCGAGGCCGCGCGCGAAGGGCCAGGGCAGAAGTGAGCCAGGTAACTGGAGTTCAAGCGGAAGAGAAAATCAACGTGACAACTACTCCAGAGATCAGTACCAGTGG